ATGTGTGGAAGAACTGTATCTTATATATCTTTGTACTCGCCTGAGTCCAGTCTGGTACATTATGTAATGTAGGTATTCAATACATCTTAAGTTGAATTCTGAAAGATCATACAGAAGGGGGAACTCTGAGTGACAGCAACAACCATCTTTGTAGCAGATGCGCCAGGGTTCAGCTATGGGCAGCCTGTACAAATGGACATCCCCCTGCTTCTCTCTGCTTGTGGGTATTCTCTGGCCATGAATGTGAGCTTGGAAGCAGACAGATTAGACTGTAAGTGCAAGAGTATTGCCTGAGGAATAACCCTCAGCCAAGGAGGGACAGGCCTGGCTAGATAAGTAACCCTGCTTCCTTACTTTCATTCTGAAAAATGCTCTATGCAGTTTCTTAGAGGGTTACTATAGCAGGAAGTTCTGGTTCCCCCATAGCAGTTGCTGTTTGTTTTTTTTTTTTAATTGAAGTATGCTTGACATACAGCTTTGTGTTAGTTTCAGATGTACAACATAGTGATTTGATATTTCTATGTATTGTAAAGTGATCACCACACCAAGTCTAGATAACATCCGTCATCAACCATAGTTTCAGAATTTTTTTTTCTGATGTGAACTTTTAATATTTACTCTCTTAGCCACCATCATATATGCTATACAGTATTATTAACTATAGTTGCCATGCTATATATTATATTCCCATGACTTGTTTATTTGATGACTGTAAGTTTGTACTTTCTGCTTTCTTTTACCTATTTCACCCACATCCCACCTCTGACAAGCACAATCTGTTCTTTTTTTCTAAAAAATTTTTATTTTTTATTGGAGCATAGTTAATTAACAATGTGTTAGTTTCAGATGTACAGCAAAGTGATTCAGTTATACATATATGTGTATCAATTTTCAAAGATTTTTTCCTGTTTAGGTTATTACAGAATATTGAACAGAATTCCTTGTCCTGTACAGTAGGTCACTGCTGGTATTTTAAATATAGTGGCATATACATGTAAAGCCCAAACTCCCAATCTTTCCCCCTACCCTTCCTTCCTGGTAACCGTAAGTTCTTTTCCTAAGTCTGTAAATAAGTTCATTTGTAGCATTTTTTTTTTTTTTAGATTCCACATATAAGCTGTATCATGTGATATTTGCGTTTCTCTGACTTACTTCACTTATTATGATAATCTTCAGGTCCATCCATGTTGCTGCAAATGGCATTATTTCATTGTTTTTGATGGCTGAGTAATATTTCACTGTATTAGGTGGGCCAAAAAGTTCGTTTGGGCTTTTCCATAAATTCTTATTGAAAACTCAAATGAATTTTTTGGCCAATCCAATATATATGTACCACATCTTTATTCACTCATTTGTCGATCGACACTTTAGGCTGCTTCCATGTCTTGACTATTGTAAATAGTGCTGCAATGAAAATTGGGGTGCATGTATACTTTCTAACTATTTTTTTTTTCTCTGATATATGTCTAAAACTAAGAACAGAGCTTCCAAATGGTCCAACCTGTGCTCTATATCCATGAACTTCATTTATTTTTAGATTCCACATATAAGTGAAAGCATACAGTGTTTGTCTTACTCTGTCTCACTTATTTCCCTTAACATAATGCCTTTGAATTCCAGCTATGAGTTTGCAAATGGCAGGAGTTCAACAACTCTTATACACACACATACACTCCATATTTTCCTTATCCATTCATTTGTTGATGGACACAGGTTATTTCCATATCTTGACTATTGTAGATAATTATGCAATGAACATAGGGGTATATATATATCTTTTTTAGTTAGTGCTTTTATTTTCTTTGGATAAATACCCAGAATGAAATTGCTGGATCATACTGTAGCTCATTTTAAGTTTTTTTGAGGATTTTACATACTCTTTTCCATAGCAGCTGCACCAATTTAGATTCTCGCTTATAGGAAAAGAATTCCCTTTTCTCCACATCCTGGCCAACACTTATTTTGTCTTTTTGATAATAGTCATTCTAACAGGTGTGAGGTAATGTCTCATTGTGTTTTTGATTTGCATTTCCCTGATGATTAGTGATACTGAGCATTTTTTCATGTATGCCATCTGAATGTCTTTGGAAAATGTCTATTCAGATCTTTTGCTATTGTATTAGTTCTTTACATTTTTGGATATTAACCCCTTATCAAATATGTGATTTGCAAATATTTTCTCCTTTTCTTCTTGTTGGTTTCCTTTCCTGTGCAGAAGCTTTTTGGTTTGATACAGTCCCATTTGTTTATTTTTGCTTTTGCTGCCTTTGTTTTCAGTTTCAAAAAAAAAAATTATTGCCTAGACCGATGTTAAGAAGTTTACCACCTATGTTTTCTTCTAGGGGTTTTATAGTTTCAGGCCTTATATTCAAATATTTAACCCATTTTGAGTTAACTTTTGTGTATAGTGTAAGATAGCGGCTCAGTTTCATTCTTCTATGTGTGGTGTCCAGTTTTCTTAACACTTTTTTTTAAGTGACTGTCATTTCCCATTGTATATTTTTGGTTTCCTTTTCATAAATTAGTTGACCATACAGGCATGGGTTTATTTCTGGGCTTCCTGTTCTGTTCTCTTGATCTATTTGTTTGTTTTAATGCTAATACAACAGTGTGTTTTTTTTTTTAACGTATTATTTTAATTGAAGCATAGTTGGTTTAAAACTTTTCAGGTATACAGCAAAGTGATTCAGTTATATATTTTTAAATTCAGATTCTTTTCCATTATAGGTTATTACAAGAAACTGAATATGGTTTCTTTCTTCCCTGTGCTATGCAGTAGGTAGGTACTTCTTATTTATCTGTTTTATATATACTAGTGTATATATGTTAATCCCAGATTCCTAATTTATCCCTCCCCTCCCCTTCCCGCTTTGGTCATCATAAGTTTGTTTTCTGGGAGTCTGTTTCTGTTTTGTAAATAAGTTCATCTGTATCGTGGTTTTAGGTTCCAGATAGAAGTGATATCATATGATATTTGTCTTTTTCTGACTTGCTTCATTTAATTATAATCTCTTGTTGTTGTTCAGTCGCCAAGTCACGTTCTTCTCTCTGCAGCTTCATGGCCTGCAGTGTGCCAGGCTCCCCTGTCTTTCACCGTGCCAGACTTTGCTCAGATTCATGGCCATTGAGTTGGTGCTGATGTTTAACTATCTCATCTTCTGCCACCTTCTTCTTCTTTGCCTTCAGTCTTTCCCAGGATCAGGGTTTTCTCCAATGAATTGGTTTTTTACATCAGGCGACCAGAATATTGGAGATTCAGCTTCAGCATCAGCCCTTCCAATGAATATTCAGGGACAATTTCCTTTAGGATTGACTGGTGTGATCTCCTTGCTGTCCAGGGGACTCTCAAGAGTCTTCTCCAACTTCACAGTTCGAAAGCATTAATTCTTCTGCACTCAGTCTTCCCTATGGTCCAAGTCTCACATTCGTACATGACTACTGGCAAAACCATAGCTTTGACTATATGGACATTTCTCGGTCAAGTGGTGTTTTTTATTTTTAACATGCTGTATAGGTTTGTCATAACTTTCCTTCCAAGGAGCAAGCATCTTTTAATTTCATGGCAACAGTCACCATCTGCAGTGATTTTGGAGCCCAGGAAAATAAAGAGGTACATAAAACAGGATGCTGTGAATGAATCTAAAGCTTTTTGGAGCTTTTAAACACGGGGAGAGTGAAATTCTACTTCTGGTCAGGAAATAGAGTTGATGCCTCAGAGAGGGACTCAGAGTAGAGAAGTGGAAGTTCAAGCTTAGACCGGTACATGAGGAGTTCACTAAGGAATAGAACCACACTCTGTTTTAGACCAAATGACCAGAAGAGGAACATGATGTAGTGGAGGAAAGGGTTTCCAAACTCACAACACAGAAATCTTCAGAAGAGTGAGAAAGAGGCACTGGTCATGTGCCACAGGAGGATTAGAGCCTGGATTGGTGAGGACACTTGGTCCATATTTGAGAGTCCCTTGGACTGCAAGGAGATCAAACCAGTCAATCCTAAAGGAAACCAATCCTGAATATTCATAAGAAGGACTGATGCTGAAGCTGAAGCTCCAATACTTAGGCCACCTGATACAAAGAGCCAGCTCATTGGAAAAGACCCTGATGCTGGGAAAGATTGAAGACAGGGAGGAGAAGGGGATGACAGAGGATGAGATGATTGGATGGCCTTACCAACTCAATGGACATGAGTTTGAGCAAGCTCTGGGAGTTGGTGATGGACAGGGAAACCTGGCATGCTGCAGTCCATGGGGTCACAAAGAGTCAGACACAATTGAGCAACAGAACAACAACAAAAGAGAGTGGGGTACAATGGGTAGAAGAGGATCTTGGGCTGCATTCCAAATAGGAACCAATCTTAGGCTTGGGTCTCAAACCCCAGTGATCTAGAACTTGTCTGGTTTTGGTTACTTTATATTTATTTCTTAGTAAAAGTACGTGCATGTAACTTGTAGCAACTGAAACATAGGGCCAAACTGTGAAAGTAGTGTTCTTCTACATATCTGTCAACACAACGTCTTAACACATCCTAGTCTTATGACTGGCCATGACACAATCCCAGAGCCAGGGACATGTGATAAAGAGAAGGGAGAAGGCCAACAGACAGAATGGAATGGATCTGCTGTGTGCATATGTGTTCCTTCATGAATAAACTTTATTTGGTTACAAGATCTGTTCCTGGAATCAGTTTTAAGGTATTGTGCTAGGTGTACTTTCGGTGCACAGATTTGAAAAATAACGGCAAATCCCTCCTCTAGGTTTGACAGTTTGGTAATCGGTGAGGTGGTTTCTTTGGAAAATGGAGCCAGGTCCCTCCTAAGGCAAAAATAAAACAAAACATTATTCATCAGCATGCAAGAGCAGGTGGATGGTATTGGAAGATCTCGGTTCTAATTTACCAGATCTGGGGCCTTGGGCAAGTCTTCACCATATGCCTCTTCCCTCACCTGTAAAAGGAGGGGTTGCCAAGCCATCCCGAGTAGACCTGGGACCCCAGATAAGATGATTGGGTCTGGAGAGGCTGGATTCAGGGCTGGCCAGAAGAGGCCTGTCCATGTGGGCATATTCTTGGACCAGAGCTTTGATTCAGCACGTTTAGTTGTTTTGGCCTCTGTTGAGATGAGGAGGTAAGAATATTTCTGAAAGTCCTTCTACTTGAAACTATTTGGGGTCTGATACAAGTTCTGTTTAAATGCTTCCTTTCCCTTCTCTTTATCTGTTTCTTTTTCTGTGTTCCTTCAAAAAAGAATCAACTTTGTTGACGTGTAAGTGAATATCTTTGGTTTCAAGATAATTTTTCCTTTTTTAATATGTCCTGTGGAGAGTGGTAGAGGGGAAAAGCAAGCTGGGTTTGAACAAGGGAAGTGAGAAGCCTGTGTGGGCCACCTGTTTCGTCTGACCCACACCCATACTCTGGGTTTCTGTACTTTGGAAGTTCTTCTCAGATGCTCTAATATATTTTAGTGCTATGATGGCAGGGCATGGTGGATTCTTTCACACATGTAACTGGACTGTTGACCATAGGAGGGTACACAGACTTATAAGGTGTTCAGTTCAGTCACTTAGTTGTGTTCAACTCTGCAACCCCATAGACTGCAGCATGCCAAGTCTCCCTGTCCATCACCTACTCCCAGAGCTTGCTCAAACTTATGTCCATTGAGTTGGTGATGCCATACAACCATCTCATCCTCTCTTGTCCCCTTCTCCTCCTGCCTTCAATCTTTCCCAGCATCAGGGTCTTTTCCAATGAGCCAGTTCTTTGCTTCAGGTGGCCAAAGTGTTGGAGCTTCAGCATCAGTCCTTCCAATGAATATTCAGGACTGATATCCTTTAGGATCAACTGGTTGGATCTCCTTGCAGTCCAAGGGACTCTCAAGAGTCTTCTCCAATACCACAGTTCAAAGGCATCAATTCTTCGGCACTCAGCTTTTTTTACAGTCCAACTTTCACATCCATACATGACTAATGGAAAAACCATAGCCTTGACTAGATGGACCTTTGTTGGCAAAGTAATGTCTCTACTTTTTAATATGCTGTCTAGGTTGGTCATAACTTTCTTTCCAAGGAGCAAGCGTCTTTTAATTTTGTGGCTGCACTCATCATCTGAAGTGATTTTGGAGCCCAAGAAAATAAAGTCTGTCACTACTTCCACTGTTTCCCCATCTGTTTGCCATGAACTGATGGGACCAGAGGCCATGATCTTCGTTTTTTGAATATTGAGTTTTAAGCCAGCTTTTTCACTCTCCTCTTTCTCTTTCATCAGGAGGCTCTTTAGTTACTCTTTGCTTTCTGCCATAAGGGTGGTGTCATCTGCACATCTGAGGTTATTGATATTTCTCCCAGCAATCTTGATTCCAGCTTGTGCTTCATCCATCCTGGCATTTCACATGATGTACTCTGCATATAAGTTAAATAATCAGGGTGACAATATGCAGGCTTGATGTACTCCTTTCCCAATTTGGAATCAGTCTGTCGTTCCATATCTGGTCATAACTGTTGCTTCCTGACCTTTATATAGATTTCTTAGGAGACGGGTAAGGTGGTCTCATTTTCCCATCTCTTGAAGAATTTTCCACAGTTTGTTGTGATCCACACAGTAAAAGGCTTTAGTGTAGTCAATGAAGTGGAAGTAGATGTCTTTCTGGAACTCTCTTGCTTTTTCTATGATCCAGTGGATGTTGGCAATTTGATCTCTGGTTCCTCTGTCTTTTCTAAAACCAGCTTGAACATTTGGAAGCTCTAGGTTCACGTACTGTTGAAGCCTCCTTTGGAAAATTTTGAGAATTACTTTGCTAGTGTGTGAGATGAGTGCAACTGTGCAGTAGTTTGAACATTCCTTGGCATTGCCTTTCTTCGGGATTGGAATAAAAACTGACCTTTTCCAGTCCTGTGGCCACTGCTGAGTTTTCCAAATTTGCTGGCATATTGAGTGCAGCACTTTCACAGCATCATCTTTTAGGATTTGAAATAGCTCAGCTGGAATTCCATCATTTTCACCAGCTTTGCTTGTAGTGATGCTTCCTTAGGCTCACTTGACTTTGTACTCCAGGTGTCTGGCTCTAGGTGAGTGATCACACCATCATGGTTATCTGGGTCATTAAGATCTTTTTTGTATAGTTCTTCTGTGTATTCTTACCACCTCTTCTTAATATCTTTTGCTTCTGTCAAGTCCATATAGAATCCTTGGTCTATTCTGTGCTCAGTCCCCTAACTAGAGGTATATGTCTCACAATTACATGCAGGGAATTTTATTCTAGGCCAGTTTCCTGCTGCCCCCAACCACGTTCTTGTACTTTTTCCCAACTCTGTTCCCCATACTTTTTCCTGTCAGTTTCTGCACTAGCTTAAGTGAATAAGTATTACTTTTTAAAATTCCCTTTCCCATTCACTTTTCATGGGTTCTCGGGATATTTGTTGTTTTTGTTGTGGTTTACTGTTTGTGGTATACTGAGAAAGATGTTATATATGTTTTCAGTTCAATTTAGTTCAGTCACTCAGTCATGTCTGACTCTTTGCGACCCCATGGACTGTAGCACTCCAGTCTTCCCTGTCCAACACCAACTCCTGGAGCTTGCTCAAACTCATGTCCATCGAGTTGGTGATGCCATCCAACCATCTCATCCTCTGTCGTCCCCTTCTCCTCCTGCCTTCAGATTTGGAAAATGTAGATGAGCAGATTTAAGCTATTTGCATAAGGCTCAAAGGTGGAACCCTAACTACAGCTCCACCCATTATCATCATTTTGGAACTCAAAGCCCCAGAAGTTGATGTGTGTCTTGAGTCTTTAGGCTGGGTCCTACCCAATCTAGACTCTGAATCCTTTTCCTCCTTAAACTTTATTTCTATGAAGCTGGCTTCTGGTTATCTAAGAAGTCATGGTTCTATACTTTTCTCAGACATTTTTTATATGCTACTGACTATGATTTTACAATCTTGGTGAAACATAAGCAATATTCAAAGCTCTTAGCAAGGAGTCTTGTTATGCTGGGGGACAAGGGGGAGGAGCCCTTTGGCTTATAGTTGGTCTACAGAAAACAGTTTCAAATTTACTATTACTACTGACATAGTTGCATAATTATATAAGAAGTCAAGATGATCAGTTATGACCATTAAGATGTATGATTCTGAGCCCTGTTTTCTTGCCAGTAGTGGTCAGAGTGGCCTCTTTGGTTCCGTTTTGTCTATTTTAACAGTGGAACCACATAGCAATTTTGTGTTTTCAATATATTTGAGCACCTACTGTGCTCTTGGCACTAGAGTCACCCAAATACTTATGATACATCCTTGCCTTTAAAGGAAAGCAGACTTGACTTTTCCTATGTGCTGATTTTAGGGGATTTAGAAAGATGGGAGTTGCTGGGTGTGGTTGTTATTGTTCATGTCGGAGGTAGCATTGTTTTTAGGACTCTAATAGCTCTTTCACTGTGACCCATGATTATAATAATGCTCACATTTGCATAATACTTTGCAATGATTTTTCATATTTCATTTCATTTGGTCTTCACAATTCTGTGGGGTAGGTTGCCAGAGTATCATTACCATTAATTTACAGATAAGAAACTGAAGCCAGGAGAGGTCAATAGTTAGCAAGTGGTGGAACCAAGTCTCAAACTCTGAACTTGTGACTGCTAATTCAGAAGTCTTATTGCCATTCTGCCTCCTTCAGAAAAGAATGAGGAACAGCACAGTGAACCCACGGAGGGCAGAGAGCTTATCTTGGTTCCCCCAGGCTCCTCCCTGCTCTAGCCCCTATCATGTTGTCTGGTACATATTCGGCAATAATAATGCAGGTTTATTGAGTGAGATTGGCAGGAGAAGAAGGGGGTGACAGAGGATGAGATGATTGGATGGCCTCACCAACTCCATGGACATGAGTTTGAGCAAACTTCAGGAGATGGTGAAGGACAGGGAAGCCTGGCATGCTGCAGTCCATGGGGTTGCAGAGTCAGACATGAATTAGCAACTGAACAACAATTGAAGATCAAGACCTTTGATGAGAGAATAAAGAGATGGCCACCTTCTCACCTTTATATCACAGACTGTAAATATTCTGATGACACTCTATTCAGCTTTGTTCTGTCCCACTAAGTTGTACTGAATTGCCCATAAATATTTGTTTGTATGGAACATTCATTGCACAGCTGTCTAGGGCATTCTGGGGTAGATGGTAGCCTGAAAATAATGCTGCCAACTTTGCAGAACTGTCCACTCACATCATAGCCTATCTTATCTTCAGTCTTGTGACAACTTTGAGGACTCCGTTAAGGAATTTGGACTTCGTGACTGCTCCAGAGACCAGCCAAGTAAACAATTTTAATAATCTCCCTGTGAATATCATAAAGGCAGGGAGTGGGTTGGGGTTGTCAGCACTGTCTTTTCACAAATACCACTACAGAGGTAAACCAGGTACTTGCCTGAAAGTTCAGAGTAAGAAAATGCTACTCTTGTTACCATCTTCCGAAATCATCTTCAGCAGAGGAAATCTGTTTTAAGCTAAAATGGGCATTTTTTCCCATCTGAAACCACAGTTGCTCAACTTCAGGAAAACTGGTTAACTTCATGCAGGTGACATCTGATGGTTTTTCCTTTTGTCTGAGATGAATTTTAATTTTCTGTAAGGCCCAACGTGGAAATCCTTCAGTGGGTGTCTGCTGACCTGAGCTATCCAACTAGTATTCAGAAAGTATAAAATCTATTTCATATGAGTCTGTGTTCCCATTCTGCCTCATCAGCAAGGAAGAAAGGGAACAATTATTTGGTGATAATTACTCTGATGGCAGTAATCTCTGGCAGCTGCTAGAGAAGAGACATAATTGCCTCCTACCACCCCCTAACTGTTTAGAATAGAGCTCTGAAAGCTTGATAAGAGGAGCTGAAGATGTGTGAACAACCTCAAAATAACTTTCTATTCACTTCCATCACCCAGGCTTTAATTAAACACAATTCATACCTCTTCAGAGGCTTGAGATGATGTATGTTAGAGGACTTCATAAAGGGGAAGGGCCATACAAATGGTAGAGGTTACTATACATTGTGTATTTCCTCTTATCCAAGTCAGGGACCTTTCAGGGCTGTTGCTCTAGAAGCCTGCTTTTTCTGCCAGTGGGGATGAGACAGAATTGCAGAA